CATGCGATATATAGTTATGAATATAAATATGAATCTAAGATATTTGAATAAAATTTTATATTTTTATCAGAATAAGAAACATTCTAAATTAGATGATTATCAACAGTTTATTTTAAGATAGAAAATAATACAGAACTATCTTGTTGATGTCTAAAACTATTATTGATTTGGGTGATCTAAATATTATATTATGATTTTACATGACTAATTTATTATATTGAAAGGATTAAATTGGATAAGTTTTAAAGAAGCAAATTTGTACCGAATTTTCAACTATAAAATGTCTGTAAATGTTATGTGACATCTTTGACTCGTATTCGGGTATATATACGGGTTAAGGGTGTTACACACGTCTCCTGAAGCAAATTCGTTGTGAAGATACTCAAGTCCCTTCGCTATTCCTCGCACAATCTTCACTTGGGTCGAGCAATCAAGTCCACAGATGATTCGTCATCGCATGGAGAATTTCATGGTTTTATTAGAATCAATGCATGATATTGTGGTTAAAAAACAAAGGCAAAAGTTATAATTTTGTACCATGCTAATGCTAAAGCCAATTGTCGTTATGAAGGTCAAAATGGCGACTAATGTTGTGGTCGGAATCTGAGTTCATTGAGCTTGATATAAATTTGATCAAAACTACATCGTTTTGGTATAAATTTGATTTTTTATAAGATCTTAAATTATATTTTTATGTTAATTGTCACGTCATAATACCATTAGAAAATTAATGATTGAATGACAAAAAAATGCAACGTATAAAAATATAGTTATTAAATTAAAAAAATAGAAATACAGTGAGTAAAATAAGATAATAAAATTCACTGAGTAAATGTATAATTTACTATATTTTAAAGGGTAAATTACAATGCTCTTCACTAAATTTTATCATCTCTCCTATTTTGCTCATCGTACTTTCAATTTTTCTATTTTGCTCACTGAACTTTACAGATTAAATCGTTTTGCTCATTCTGCTGTTAATTCTCTAACGGTGTGATGATGTGTCATTTTTATTATTATTTAATCGTCAATTACAACGTTCCTCACTAAACTTTACTCTCTCTCCTATTTTGCTCACCCAATTATAAGGTGGCTGGATACCATTGTCACCCACCGTCGACCGTTGTTGATGGGGGTCGTTTGGTCCCAAAATTCATGGGTCGGTTCGCCTCGACCCCTTTAGTCTGAATATGGTGATTTTTTCACTAAAAATTTTCCCAAAATCCGTGAATCTAGACTGAAATATTTTGGTTTCCTCACTTCCAATCTTCGATTCGTTGACGTCAGAGCAAGTTTATAAAAAATGGAGGTTAGATTCGGACTCATAGTCTCGAGGCAAAACGACCCATGCAATTTAGGACCAAACGATCACCATCTACGGTAATCGACGGTGGCCAGGGTGACATCCAACCACCTTTTATTTTTATTTTATAATTAGGTGAGTAAAATGGGATAGATAATAAAGTTCAATAAGAAACAATGTAATTTATCATTTATATTTTTCAATTATTTTATATTAAATAATAAGAAAAATAACATATCATCATACCGTTAGAGAGCTAACGGTAGAATGAACAAAATAATTTAATATATAAAGTTTGAGGAACATTATAATTTACTCTTTTTAAAATGAGCGTAACAACGAAAAATCAAAGCATCCAAACAGTAGATGCCACCTAAGCAAAACATCCATCTATTAAATACCAAGAAATTTTATATTTGCACGTGTCAAAATGTAAGTGGTTAAGAATCTTTCTGTGGACAGTGTATTCCTCTGTCATTAAACCTTTTTTAAGTCCCGACACGAAATTTCAAACATTTAACAGTAAAAACTAAGGATAAAGTTTTCAACACGCAGAATGTCTGCTTTAAAACTCACCTCCAATATAGTACCGCCACGTGGTGAAAAGTGGTCCAGCTAAAAATACTTATACTTCCTAAGTTACACGTGTGATAATATAATTAGTCGTTGATGTGTTAAAAAAAGCGTCGTTGTACGATTAATTTTTATGAAAAATATTTAATATTTGTCATTCTGGTACAATAAACCCCAAAGCTTCCTCTTCAGTCTCCTCTCGTCAACGTTTCTGTAATTTTTATTCTTTTGGAGATTTGTTTCAGTTACAACTACAAGAAAGAGATTTTCTATTTTACGGAAATGCCCTTCTTCTTACGTTAAAACCCAGTTTTAATTCTCCATGTAAACATTTAAAAAAATGGTTTGACAGTTTGTTTCCCCTTCTCTTTTGTAGGGTTGGATGTTGTTAGCAGGTGCACGAAAACCCTAATATTTCTGTTCATTTTCTTATGTTTTTGCAGTTTTTTTTTCTCTATTTTTAAAGGTCTAAAGACTATGTAAAGAAAGATTCTTCAAGGTGAAGGTGAGAGCTTTGGCTTTGATCTCTAATTCTTTGCTTTTTTTAGCTTAACTTTTGGTTAGTTTGTAATGGATTTAGTTCTTGAGAGGGTTTTAGTTTTTAAATTTATAATGTGGATTTTGAAATTTTAGTGAACAGGTGGAGTGGGTTTTGTTTGGATTAAGCATTTGAGTAGAATTTGTAGAATGCATTTTTTAACTTTAAAAAAGTTCTTTTTTAAGGGATCCGAGCTTTGATAAATTTAATAGCATGCAATTGTCAAATAAATCAAATTCTTTGGTATTACCTTTTTTTTATCTAAGATTCTAAGTCAAGTTTGAGAATCAGGTTAACTATGCTGTAATGTAAACGACTGTGTTGGCTAATATGGAAAGATGAATAAATGCATTGATTGTTTGTGCATTATGAGGAACTTTGATGTTTAAATGGAAAGTCTAATTTAATAAAAGTGTGATTCTTCATTCTATTTATTGTCCTAAAATTCACTCCACTTCATAGATGGTACGTCGCATATCTGTGTTTCAAGTTTCCCCACCCATTGATAGGACCTCAAACTAGCATATTTACTTTCTTCTATTGGAGGCTCCAACACCGATTTAGAGCTACATTCGGCATGTAATTAAGATAAGATATTTATTCATCCATGGTTGAAATCTAGCTCTGAGAGCTCTCTAGGACGTTGTTATCGTATCTGTCTCTTAGTCGACAAAACGAAAGAATTTCGAGCTAAAATGTAATTCAATCCAAAATATTGCAGATTATGGATCATACTCAGATATCTCCCTTTTTATTTATGGGAAAGTATAATTTTCACTTAAAACTATAATTGAGAGCCAGCAGTTGATCCACTCCCCTGAGTTTCCTGGGAATTGCTGCCAGATAAGCCGGCTAGAATGTGTTTTAAGACATGAGTTTGCAGTGAAACCTTAGCTCTTCTTTGCTTGATTTGTTAATTTAGATTTTGAGCTGTTAGTTTTCAAGTCATTCATTGTTTGCTCTTTCATATGCTGTTAATCTCCATCCCCGACTGTTTTTGCCAATTTTATGGTTCATAAACTCGATATTAAGCTACAGAAACATGGTGTGTAATTATGATGTTTTGTTTAACCAGGATATAGGATCATTGTTTCTTTTGCTTGGGGGGACAAAGATCCTGACAAAGCAGTGTCGTTGCATACACTCACCTAGTTGTCAATGAACAAAGGGTCATCTAAGTGAAGATGTGATTTTCCTAGTGTTTCAAGCAACTCAACTGGAATCCGAAATTGTTTGCCTCTCTTTCATTAGTATGCAAATGGCTCGATGATCTTGCCAAGAGAGTACCGTGGAAAGAATTCTGCAAAACGAGGGCCCCAAAGATGATGCTTGACCTGCAGTCTAGTGGAAGTCACAGTGTTGATGGGAACTGGAGAGCAATTGGAAAACTGCTTATCTATTGTTCAGGTTGTAGTGGCGGTCGCTTGTTCAGCAGTGTTCAAATACCTGGCCATTTTGTTTACAGGACCAGGATCTCAAGGACTTAAGGCAAGAGCTTCCTTTTACCACAATTTTCCGACCCCTGTGAACATCTGGACCAAGGGGAAGAGGGTGATGTGGGATTTTTCCGAGGAGTTTTCAAGTCATTCTTGGTTTCAAAGGTTCGGAAGATGTTGATTGACAGGGCAGCAAAGCTTCATCCAACAGCTGCGTGCCCTTATTGTAAGGCAAAGTTGTGGGACATGCTGCAAGCTAAAATGATACCGCAAAGTGCAAGCTGTAGGCTGGGTGCCTATGAAGATTGCATCGAGTATTACGTGTGTCTTAATGGACATATGCTTAGCATCTGCACCCTATTACCCTTGTCTGATTCTGAAGAGGCATCTGGATCGGAGTGAGTGATTGAATGCAAATCAGGTAATATCATGCAACAGGAATTTATATAACGAGCAATGCATATGGTGTAGGTTAATAATCTATTATTAGGAGTTTATGCGAGTTCTTAGCTGACAAAATATGCCTATATCTGACTAAATGTGTATCGTGTTCTTCGCAGTTTGTTTGACATTTCATGTGTGGATTGATCTCCTGGTGGACCAGATATAGATAGAGGGGAGACAAGATGGACTTTACTATCTCTGGACCCGAAAACCAACCATTGTAACTCGGCGTCTTCTCTCTAGTACTTTGCTACTTCGTCTAAAGTCCTCACCGAGTGTTTCCTAAAAAGGTTAGAAGCTATAGCTAACCATTTTTGCTTATTTCAATTATCCACTGATTCAGTGGTGAGTGTGAAACTAATACCTGCACTGTGTGCATTTATCATGTATGGCTCATATGTGTGTTGCATAGCTGATTGGCATCTCCATTCATGTAGTAGTTGTTTAGATCATCCATTCCTTTGTTGGATCGACTCACAAGCACGTTTAGTCTTGATTATCTCCTAGGGTTCTTGCCCATTTTCTTATTAGTTCTTTTGAATTAATGCCAAATATAAATTCATCGTTTTATTAATATTCGTATTCAACAGTTATTCAAATCTGAATATGTGAATATGATCGTCCAAAGATCCTCAAAATACACATTCAACACTAAATGATATTATACAAGGGATGACAAATTCAAAACATGGAAAAACAAGTTCGAGAATTCGGACGTAAAACCTGAGGTTCAATTGCTCAAGAGCAGAGTCTGATTAATGTGAAACCAATGAAGTGAACAAAATAGATGAACGGTCATCTCTACATGAATTTGGTGTAGAAAAGCAGAAAACCAACACATTCTAAACATTTAATGTCCACAAACTCTTTTTCTATACCAGATCTGTCACTGTTTTATCTGCAGAAAATTGTGAAATCACAACTTAGTTTAAAGCAAATGACTAGGGTAGAATGAAAAGGAACCGTAGATTAACAAAAGCTACCTGAAAATAATGCCATCCCCTCTTCAAGCTGCGAATTATAATATGACACAAACACACTTGTTCTGTTCCGGTTCATTTATTATTTTCTTTTCTGCACATTACAGAAAGATAAACATGTTACTTCACAGAACCGAATGGCTTGCAGTTTTCAGAGCAAGGAGTATTATCATTAATTATTATGAAAAAGCGCCAGATTATAGTTTTTGGAATTAAACGAATACTAATTGTACCTTTCTCCAAAGGAGGAGGTTGAACAACAACGTGCATAGTCGTTACTCCACCCGGTACATCACAAAGAGCGCTCTGACACTCCCCCAGTGTTTTGTTGTTCTCCAATATTTTCCCCGCACTAATTAACTTGACATCCTTCACTGTCCTTGGACCATTCTCCTTCTCTGCACAAGTTAAAACAACTATAATTGATCAGAAAAATGTTAATATGGTTGGAACGAAATAAAATAACAGAAAGGTCAAGTCATATACAGGAATAATAAAAGAACATAAGAGAGAAATCCAATGCTATTCAATCAGAAAGAAAAGTCTAGACTTCCCCACGACTGCAGTCCAAAACTAATACAAGCAATCTGTTCCTTGTTATCTTATATGACATAATGTGTGTATACCACCATTCCTTTTTCCATTTTCTTTTTGTTCACTAAAAAGTAGGTCACTGCGTTTTCCATTTTCCTCTTGGCTGATTGCAGAACTTTGCTAAAACCACGGTTTTAGCCAAACCACATAACTATAATTTATAATTAAAACTAACCGTAAAACTTACATATGGGGACCACATACATAAGAAATACAAAGCACATAAGAGACAGAATCAAGAGAGTGAGACGGAGTGGGTGAGATGAAAGCAGATCAAACTAATACGAACCATATACAAGCATAAATCTTAAAAATTCAATCTAGATCATCTCAGTTAGGAACATAATTATAAATTGTTTGACAAAACTCCTCAAACGAGCATCACTCAACATAGTTTATATGAAACAAACCAAAACCTTTATAGTATGTTGGTTTAAATGTAGCGTGCTAACCTACTTCGGATGAATACAATTATCATTTATCCATAAAAGAAAATATGAAACAGTAGTAGTCCACCACAATCCTTGACCAATACGAATTTGAGAGCTAATAATCTTTTAACAGGAAGAAGCCCGAACTGGTTTCTATTCATATTTGTGACAGTACACAAGCATTTGTAATCCATTTACTGATCAAAGCATTTAAGCTACTCTGCTATGGAGGATTGAATTTCGGGTCCTAATAATGATTCTATTTTCTTGCATAGTTTCACTCATCTGAAAATCAAACCAGCAAAATGAATAAACCACAAAAACATCAAAAAGCAATTTTCATGAACACGAAACCGAAAACAAATTATCAAGTGAAATAAAGCTGAAAGATTGATAAATACATTTGCATTTCATCAGACACCTGCCTAACTAACTAACCTTTAGGCCATTGAGCAATAACACTTTCCTTCAAAGTTGCAACACTTGTAGCGGCCGAAAAGGTTTTTGGACCGATATCGGAGCCATCGGTCAACCGAAACTTGACCTCCAATTGATCTTGAACACTAGCCATCTCCAGAAACCTTAGAGATCCCAAAATCTAAACCTTACCCAAGATCTTTACTTGGAAGTTATCCTCAGATCTATACAAAAAATCTCAATCTAGAAGACTGCAACGACGCTAAGATTCTTCTGAGGTACTTATTTTCCTATATTTACAACAATCAAATACCCTCCAAGAATTCTCATCTGGAAATTCTGCAGAACTGAAATCAGAAAATGAAGAAAATGAATTAAATACGCAGGCAATCTATTTAAGGAAAAAAATACAGAAAAAGTTCCCAAGCAACACAAATTAGGTAAATCCAAGAACACAAAATCATTAAATAAGCAAAGATCCACCAATATAAAAATAGAACAGAAAATCTCCAAATTAAAGTCTTTAAGTTGATAAAATCTGCTAAGAAATCCAAAAATTGGTCACAAAAAACCATATAAATAGAGAAAAAAAAGAACAAAAGCTTAATGGGTTATCTTACTTTATCCAAAAACTGATATCGGTTGGTTTCTTTTTGATGAAAAAGCCAAGCTTTGAAGAAGAAAAAGGAGAAACTGAATGGGCGGCTTTGATAAAATCAACAATAAGAGAAGAAGAAGAAGAAATCAAAAGAGAAATCAAAGTATACAGAAGAGAGAAGAAGAGGCTGTTTTGGAGTTTTCAAAGTCTTCCAAATCTAAATCTATGGTCAATGCTTCCATCTTTTTTCTTCTTCCAATCTCCTATGCTATGGAAATTTTCACTTTCCCCTTTATCTGTAAAATAAATAATTTAAAATGGTTAACTATATATTTAGTCATTCAACTATTACTTTATTTTCAGTTTGGTCATAAACTATATGACTTTTTAGTGTACCCTTCCGTCCCTTCGTTACATTTTCATTTTGATTATTGATTTTTAAAAATTTTAAATTTCATCATTTTGAACATTTTATGTATTACATTTCTTATAAATGAAAAAAATATTTAAAAATAAGAGATGGAATGCTCAACAACTTCTGCTGTGCAGCGCCTAAAAAACGGTTAAAAAACGGTGTGATCGGTTAAAATTTAGATCGGTTATGTTATATCATTTAACCGGAAATATTATTAAGTACAATAACATATTAGGTAGCGCTTATATAATATAATAGGTAGCGCTTATATAATAAAATAAGCATTTAACCAGAAATATTATCAAGTACAATAACATATTAGGTAGTGTTTATATTATGTAATAGGTAGCGCTTATATTGACCTATTTTATAAGTAAACCCGGTATATTTATACCGGTAACATTGCAAATTTACCTATTACATTATAATTATCGGTTTCGATGTTTTTTGGATCGATACAATTTTAAATGTATTGACACTTTATGCGTGCACCTCGTTAGGTATTCATTCTGGAAACAAGTATCGACACAAACTTAAAGAGTGTCGATACATTATTTAGACCTATTTTTTCATAAAATCGGTATATTGCTATCCGGTACATTGTAAATTTACCTATCACATTGTAATTATCGGTTTCGATTTTTGGGATCGATACTTTTAATAAATGTATCGACACTTTATGCGTGCACCCGTTTGGCATTCATTATGGACAAAATGTATCAATACAAATTTAATAAGTGTCGATACTTTATGATGACATATTTTCTCATAAAACCGGTATATTTATACCGATTACATTGTAAATTTTACATATTACATTATAATTATCGGTTTCGATTTTATTGGGATCGATACTTTTAATAATTGTATCGACACTTTATGCGTACACCTCGTTTGGGCATTCATTATGGACAATAAGTATCGACACAAATTACACAAGTGTCGATACATTATGTTGACTTATTTTCTAATTAACCGGTATATTTATACCGGTTACATTGTTAATTTTACCTATTACATTATAATTATTGGTTTCGATATTTTTTGGGTCGATACTTTTAGAAAATGTATCGACACATATTTAGGTAGTTATTGTACACACCTAAATATGTCACGCGAATTTAATGTTGTACCCACCCTTCAACTACCACTACCAATACCACATCCTATTGAAAGCACGACTGAAACATGTTGAATGAACCTTTACTTACATCTCCATCAACTCCGGGACCACTGAACTTGTACAACAAAATTTTTGCCATGGATCATACTGATGCAGACAATGTTAAGCCAACCGAGGAATGCCATGAAGTACATAATGTTGATGAATCTGACAGATTAGTTGGTCAGCTCTTCTCTTACGTGATCAAGCTTGATACTTTTACAAGGGATTCGCACGGGAACATGAGTTTAGTGCACGTAAGGGAACAACACGGCTTGACGTGGAAAGGAATATGAAGATACAAGAATTTTGTTGTTCCAAATAAGGGTTTCGATTATCAAAAGGCAATACTGTTGATCGCCAACGTGCTCATACGACAGTCACAAGAACATGATGCAAGGCTAGAGTCGTAGTTACAGCAACAAATACAAACGATCACTGGGTTATAAGTAAGTCTTATTAGAAACATAATCATGCATTGTGCACACCTGCTATGACACCATTTATGCGTTCTAATAGAGCTTTAAGTAAGGCTGATATCGATGAGGCAACAACATTGAAAGAGGTCGGTGTTGGCACATCACAAGTAATGAACTATTTAACGCAGCAGGCAGAGGGCTATCATAATGTTGGATTTACACATAAAGACCTCTACAATACATTTCAAATAGGTAAAGCAAAGGAAATCGTCGATGGGGATGTGAATGCGCTTATTGCTTACTTTGATTATAAGAAACATGATGATCCCTGGTTTTTTATGACATACTCGGTAGACGAATCATGGGCATTGCATAATCTTATTTGGTCGGATTCTACATCGAGATCAGATTACACATGCTTCGGTGATGTAATTACGTTCGACACAACGTACAAAGATAATTTGTATGGTCGACAAATTATGCCTATTGTCGGTGTCAATCATCACCATAACACAATTGTGTTTGCCACTGCCATAATCGCTAACGAGACGTCCCAATCTTTCGAGTGGGTGCTACAGAATGTTTTAGAAGCCATGATGAATAAATCGCCTATTTCAATTGTCACCGATGGGGATAGGGCAATGCAGAGGGCTATCAAATCTGTTATCCCTTATGCTAAACATAGATTACGTTCTTGGCATCTTTCTCGCAATGCACAAGCTAACATTGGTGACCCAAAATTTACAGCAGCATTCTCAAAATGCATGGCTTTCTAGTGGACAACCGAGGAATTCAATATTTAATGGCGTTCAGTTGTTTCAGAATTCAACGTCAAAAAGCATCCATGGGTGATTAAGAAGGGAAATATTTTGCACGTATGGGCACAAGCATATCTAACCGGTCATTTCTTTGCCAATATTTGTTCAACACAAAGGTGCGAGTCTATGAATGCTTTACTAGCGATTGCACTGAAACACAAGAAGACATATTTAGATGTTGTTCGTGCAATTAAAGATGGAATTAGTAGGATGCGTATGAACGAGTTGAAAGCGGATTGCTTAAGTTCCCATACGAAGCCCTTCCAGATCACAAAACTGGTCGAACTTGAAAGCCATGCTGCTGAGATTTTTACTCGCGAATCTTTTTGTGCGTTCCATGATGAACTTCAACGGGAGACATTGTACCGAATTGAGAAAGAGATTCAGTCCTTATCAGATAAATGTCAACATTATATTTTGACAAAGTACAAAGAAAAAAATAGGACATTTGAAATTAGTTTTGATTCTCATATGAAAACCCTAATTTGCTCATGCAAAAAAAAAATTAAGACTGTTGGACTTCCGTGTCGCCATCAACTTCACATTTTGAAGCACTTGGATTACACATATTTTCCCGAGACTTTGATTCAAAGTAGGTGGACTAAGGATGCGAAGGCTTCTGCACCCAATTATGTTGACTTGAATATGCCTCCAGAAGTGATGCAAATGGCAAGGTTCGCTGCTCTACGTTCAACGTCAAGTAGGTTATGCTACATTGCATCAAAGACAGACGCGTCTTTCAAAACTGCAAGATATGAGATGAAAAGACTAATAGAATAATTTGAAGAATCGTTTGATTTGAATGATTCAGTCAACCATAGCAGTGTAGTAAACAACGTTTGCGACCCTCAACGAAAATAACGCAAACGAAAAGAAGTACCGAAGAACAAGGTCGAGAAGAAAATTAGGCGATGTGGGTACTGCAACGGTGAGGGACATAACAAACTAACATGTCCTCAAGTCAAGCTCAGTTTGAATACAAGCACACAACCTACATCAACTTATTTTTTCGAAGACAGAATGGAATGGCCATTCAGTCCCGTACGTGATGACAACGATCTCCATATATCGTAAGTATTAACATGACTCCTATTGTGTATAAGAAACATGTACAACAACCTATTGCTAACTTTTTTCATCTCATACATAATTACATTCACATACAAAATTATAAATCGTATGTAACTTATACAAAATTAACCCTGCATTAACAAAATTTCCTCTCTTAGTCTATTTTGATTGTGGCTTACGAGACCGTTTAATATTTCATCCACAACATCACATAAATGACAAATAATCTATAGACTATAGTCTCCCGTAATAATGGTTGGAATCAGTTATGTAACTGGGATTATCCTGGTTAATCATGTTGACTGCATAGCCAATAAAACCTGGGAGTCCAAATGGTAAGCTAGGATATGGTAAGGCAAGCTTCTCCGCAATCATGGCCGGAATCAGTTCTGTAACTGGGATTATCCAAGTTAATCATGTTGACTGCATAGCCAATAAAACCTGTGAGTCCAAATGGTAAGCTAGGAATTGGTAAGTTAAGCTTTTTTTTTGAGGGTTTAGGGTTTAGAACCCTCCAACGTAAGGAGAGCATGGTTGAACATTATGTATAATAGTTGTATTCAGTTGTTGAAGAATTGCTCTTAATTTTATATAAGGATAGTTGTTATGATATACGTTCACGTTTCGGGACCAATTAGTTAGATGCGTGAAGTAGCCTATATCCTCGAGGCAGAGCACAAGAAATATGGCACTTAAAGATTTACCAAGAGCGGTAGCTTTTGCTCTGCATGAAGCCCGAATCTAGAATCAACTTTGCAATTATGCCTATCATGCTGAAGAGAACCTGTTGAAAAATAGGATTTGCACACAACTGCAAGCATTTTAAACGCTAAACCCAACTCCTCACATGGAAAATTATACAACAAAGATGTCAGGATTTTCCATGTGAGTAGTTGGGTTTAGGGTTTAAAATGCTTGCAGTTGTGTGCATATCCTATTATTCAGCAGGTTCTCTTCAGCATGATAGGTATAATTGCAAAGTTGATTTTTGGTTCGGTCTTCATGCAGAGCAAAAGCTACCGCTCTTGGTAAATCTTTAAGTGCCAGATTTCTTGTGCTCTGCCTCGAGGATATAGGCTACTTCACGCATCTAACTAATTGGTCCCGAAATGTGAACGTATATCATAACAACTATCCTTATATAAAATTAAGAACAATTCTTCAACAACTGAATACAACTATTATACGTAATGTTCAATCATGCACTCTTTACGTTTGAGGGCTCTAAACCATAAACCCTCAAAAGA